TCCCGACTTAGTGATTAGTATCCTAGAACTCTTATTTGGAAGCCGTTTGCAGTGTTTTTGGAGCTTTGCATGACCGTTAAGTAGAATTGCCCTTCCATTCGTCTTGGTACTGATCCTGCTTTATATGGTAAACATCTTTGTTCGGAGGGAAAGAACTATTTAAAGCCGATCCTTTTTATTACCAATGACCCAGACTGCTTCAAGTTATGCACGGTTGTCCACCACGCATTGTGAACAACGAGGTGTAGGTTTGTTAAACGGCCGTACTGGATCATTGAGCAATGCCTTTAACAGATTTGTAAGTACTGTTCATGGGAACCAGAAGCTTCGGGCATAATCCGCAACCTCCCTTCACGATTTGTATCGTAGGTCGACCTTCGACTTAATCGATAACCTACCTTGTAGATTGGTATCCTACCTTCAGGTGCGCTTCTCAGATGTACAAAAGTCATTCTTAAGCTGGCGAAAGCATCTATCATTCGCATGTTCAGAGATGATCCTACTCTCATCTACCATTTTGTTGACATCAGCGCTGGATTTCGCAACACCGAGAGGCCCCCCTCCCCAGTCCACAATGCCATCGCTGCTACCATGGGTGCAATCATGGACATGTTTGACCCAGCGGAATACCCGAAGAAGGAACAGGACGGGTCTGGAGGACATGACGGTGATGACGGCAACGAATAAACAAGTGCCTCCAACAAAGAAGTGACAGCAAAAAAGCTGTCTGTGTGAATGTACGAGAATCAGAAAAGAAGAGCCCAGAATGAATCTACTGTAGGGCGTTTAGTAGTAAAACAAAAATAACAGAAGGATGAAAAAAATGCTGTTAGTTAAAAGGAAAGGCAACTTGATCGCGGAAAAGGGAGTGTTGGGGGAATGTGTGGGCGTTAATTAATTTTGATGGGGGTGGTGGGGGATGGTTTGGAAAGCAGACCGATATGTTTGAAAGGAGAGGCCGGTGTGCTGGGCAGTCCCGGTAGGTCCCGGTTGATTGGATGGGTGTCTACTGCCACGTCACAGCGGCTAACGCCGCTGTTAGCCGAGGCAGGGGCAGGAAGGCCCGGTCATGCGACTGCTAGTCCCGGATCCATCAAAGTCGCGTCGGATCACTGAAAGTAGTTCACAAAGTCGCGTGCGAGTCATGTGCGAGTCGCACGCGACTTTTATGCGACTTTACAAACGACTTTACGCGATCCTACGCGACTCTGTAGACTTGCTTAGAGTAATCTTGCGCGACTTTGAAAGTCGTGCGAGAAAGTCGCACATGACTTTCATGCGACTCGCATGCGACTTTACATACGACTTTTGATGCGACTTTGATGCTGTGTGCGACTTTATGCCTATTTTTTGGCGACTAGAAGTCCCATGACGGGGCCTTCCAGAAGCGCGGACTACATGTGCCATACATGTAGTAAAAACCCAAACCCTATGTAAAATCTTGATTATGCAAAAGGACGTGAGACGAAAACAATCAAATTACGGCTTGCTGTAAGGAACCCCAGCGAGACACAAGCAAAGGCATGAGGAAAGATATATAAGGGGGTTTAGAGTAGGGAAATTATCTACGGAAGATTGCCGTGATATTATGGCAGCCTTGAAACCACGGTACAGTAACGGCTAACCCTTCTGGGTTTGTTTTCCCTTGACTTTTCCCTCTCAAGATGCCGAAAGAACGGGCTGGAAAACTGATCTGCCCCATTTGTTCTGATCGATCGTACCTTGGAAATTGCCCGACCAGGCGACTGAAAAAACCTCGGGCCATAGCAGACCAAGTTCTTCGAGCATCGGGAGTGGATCAAAAACTAGCATGGCTGTTGCCGTTGCGGCTCCGTAGCGGTAGCCGAAGAACTCACAATGGCAGGATCTTTTCTCAAACTTGCTTGCGAGACGAGTCGTGGGTAGAAAGCTTCCCACTTCTCCAGACACCACTGGATGGAAGTCCACTACGGTACAGAGAAGGGAAGTTATCACTCGCGCCCACAAAAGCATGACCATTCAACAACAGAACAAAGAAAGCAGAAACATGGAGAGGAAGGGAAAGATTGGTGCGAGTTGTGGAAAGTGTCAAGATCGTTTGACGTTGAAAAAGGGTGACTGGTGGCACCTCAAGAGGAAAGCTGGACTTCCTTCGGCTTCGGTGCCACTTGATTTGTGCACTCAGGACTACTGGAAACTATCAAGAGGGGAAAGAAAGAGGTACGTACAAGTAAGAACAAAGGATGACTTGGGTTCGGTGCAAGACAAGTACCGGGCTTGCTGCAACGACGAATGGTGGGGTGGACGGGGCTCCAGCATTGCGGTTCTCTGCGGGGGTGGTTTGCTTGACTTGCCTAACGGTGGTTCGATCCAAGCCTGCGACAAAGATTCTGTCGAAGGCATTGTTCGATCGCTGGCACAATCGACATAGATGACATGGGAAGCAACGACAATGAAGCAGCCAAGGAGTTGCTGTTGTCTTGCAGTGCCTGTGTAATACCGGGTGGCCATGATGTACCGCAAGCAGCATCCTTGGGTGAAAATGGAAAGGCCACATTGGCTGCTTTTTTAGAAGAACAAGGAAAAGGAATCGTTGGGATATGTGGTGGTGCGTGGTTGCTTGGCCATGGCGACGGGCGACTTAACCACAACTATTGCTGGTTCCCTTGTCGTTTTGACCCAAACTTTGGCGACAACGGCCTGATGGGCATGGTTGATGTTCATGCAACCAAGGAAGCAGTAGGGCTGTTTGGTGATGGTGTGGAAGGATCTGCATACTTCGATGAATCCCCCAGTATGAGCCTTATCGGCGCGCCACCCGATGCCAAAGTTCTGGTCCGCTACGGGCCAAATCTACACCCGAGCTCCTTTAGCAGTGCTGCCGCTCTCCAGGAAATGGGAGAACAGAAGACGAAGGGGTCCCTGGCGGGCACTGCCGCAGTCGTTGCTGGGCATTCACGGTCTTTTGCGTCGCTTCCGCGCGTTGTCTTGATTGGGCCGCATTGGGAAGTGACACCGGGAGAAACCAAACGTAATGTAGTCACACGGGCAGTTGCATGGGCTTCTGGTCGAGATGTGGATGGCGCGCATAACTAGCTAGAACAATTCAGTTTTTTCGAGTCAGTGATTGTGTTCTAGGAGTTTCGTTATGATGTGATTTTGATATGTAGGCTACCTGCTCCCCAGCGGGACGAATGGGTGCGGCGCTTGCATCGTCTTGTGCGCCGGCGGCTGCCACAAGAACTGGGCAATTGCCATGAGCGCCTTGCCGCACCACACAACCGATTCAAAGAGATATATCCATGTAGTCAGATTCGCCTGGTCGTGAACACGCAATTGTCGTCCCGTTACCGTCTGCACTGCATCGTTCGCTGCGTGGATCATCGTTGGTGTCGTCCCCTGAGATTTCAGAAACCGAGTCGCAACAGTCTGTTTCTGTCATCTCCTCTTCCCGAATCTCTGGCGGAACAACTGACCCGGGTTTTACTGTGTATTGAGTTGTGAAGCTGAAGTACTCTTCCTCTTCTCTGTCCGAGGCCGTTGCCGATGCGGTCTCAATATCAACATCGCCATCTTTCGCGAGGCGCTGCAAAAGGCATAGACAGAGCGAGAAAGATACATCAGGAATTGTTCTTTGGAGCATTGAATGGTAGAAGGGCCGATTTCAAGAACGTACCTTGCCATGTTCTTGTGTGGATGGCCCGAGCGTCACTCCGTATTTCTCTGTAGTATTCATTGGAAACTCGTGAGCGTGACAACCACCTGTGGGAGGCAATTTTGCGAAACTGGATTTTTTGGCTTACCTGCAAGCTTTTGCTTCTTTTGCTCTTCCATCTTCTTTGCAAGTACTTCTTGTTTGTGAGAAAGCCAGAATGTGACTGCCGC